GGCCCTGCTTTCCCCACCTTTGAAGTAAAGGCAGCTCTGCCACATTCTCAAAGCCTCCTTCTTCCTGGGGACCACTTCAAACCACTTCTCCAGATTCCTCCCTCAACACTGCCAGCTGCCGTCAGACTAAACCGCCCCCTGCACCTCCATCTGTTGATGGCAACAGCACTGCTTCCCTGCCTTCACCTCTCCTTAAATACTGCAAACACTCCAATACCTTCAGTCCCAGATGCAGAACCCAGCCAACACCTGGCCTCATTCTTGTCCCTGACCTCTCGTTCCCTCCCTAAGTCAGCCACCTACTTCCATCCTAAATCTACATCAATAAATGAAATACCTGTGGGATGGTGGCTTTTAGCACCCCACTCTCAGGTTAGTACCCCACACCAACAATCGTTGACCTAATCAAGGCTTCTAAACCATGGAGGCTATTTGTTAATCTTGCCATTGTCCTTACACCCCTCCTTGCCCAGTTTGAATATTCTGATCTATTCTTAGAATACCTCCCTTGCAAGCATACTTGACTCCCTTGCCCCTCCTTCCATCACAGTCACCTGTTGAAAACCCTGACCATGAGTAAACCTGATGGTTCACCTTCTCCATACCTCTATACCCCACCAGAAGAAAGCAACTACTCATATTTGGATAGTAACTAGCTGGTAGGATTATAACATGGTACAACCACTATGGAAACCAGCATGGAGGTTCCTCAAAAAAATTTTAAAAGAGCTGCCATATGATCCAGCAATCCCATTTTGGGGTATATTCATATATCCAAAAGAGTTAAAAGCAGGATCTTAAAGAGATATTTGCACACCCATGTTCAAAGCAGCACTATTCACAACAGTCAAGAGGTGGACACAACCTATGCGCATCAATGGATGAATGGACACACAAAATATGGTTGTGCTATTACGATATGTATATGCATATTTTGGTTTCCATCCATGGTTCCTGGCTTGTTCTAACCTTCCCCTGCCTGTCTTAGAGCTGGCCATAAACAAATTCTCTGACCTATCCTCTCTGATTGTACATCATACGACCACCATTTGAGAGGGGGTTCTGCCCCATACTCTGAAGGAAGGAATGCTGCACAGAGAGACAAAGGAGGACGGGAACAAACAGGCCTGCTGGGTGTCCCCATTCAGTCTGTTAGTGACAGACACACCCTTTTTGTCCAATCACATTTCTATGTGGTCATCTATGCCTCTCTCATGTCTACATAATGAAGCCTCCATAAAAACTCAAGAGCACAGGGTTCAGAGAACTTCTGGATTGGTGAACATGTGTAGGTTCCTGGAGGGTGGCGCACCTGGGGAGGACATGGAAGCTCCACGCCCCTTCCCCCATTCCTTGCCCTGTGCATATCTTCCTCTGTATCCTTTTCAATATCCTTTATAACAAAGTGGTACATGTAAGTGTTTCCCTGAGTTCTGTGAGCTGCTCAGCGAATCAACGGAACCCGAGGAGGGGGTTGTGGGGACCCTGATTTATAGCCACTTGGTCTGAAGCACAGGTAAATAACCAAGGGCTTGTGTCTGACATCTGAAGTAGGGGACAGTCTTGTGGAACTGAGCCCTGCTGTTGGATCTGACAGTATCTCCAGGTAGATACCATCAGCATTAAATTGAATTAGAGGACACCCAGCTTGTGTTCATTGGAGAATTGCTTGCTTGTTACTGGGGAGAAACCCCCACACACATTCAGTCACAGAAGTCTGTCTTCTGTGTTGTTGAATAAGAGCATAGGAAAAACACTTCAGGGTGGGCTTTTTCCCACATAGTGGCATATACATACAGTGGAATATTACTCAGCCTTTAAAAAGAGAAAATCATGTCACATGCTACAAGATGAACAAGCCTTGAGAACATCATGCTAAGTGAAATAAGCCAATTACAAAAAACCAAATACTGTATGATTCCATTTACATGAGGTATCTAAAGTAGTCAAATTCATAGAAAAAGAAAGTAGAAGGGTAGCTGCCAGGGGATGCAGGAAGGAGGAGATGGGGAGTTGGTGTTCAACGGGTACAGAGTTTCAATTCTGCAAGATGAAAAACTTCTGGAGATCCGTTTCACAACAATTATGATATACTCAAAAAAAAAAGGACAAATAAATAAATAAATAAATAAAGGGCCGGCCCCGTGGCGCACTCAGGAGAGTGTGGCGCTTGGGAACGCAGCGGCGCTCCCGCTGCGGGTTCGGATCCTATATAGGGATGGCCAGTGCGCTCAAGCACAGTGCAGGCGACACCAAGCCAAGGGTTGCGATCCCCTTACCGGTCACAAAAAAAAAAAAAGGACAAAAATAAATAAATAAATAAATGATATACTTAACACTAGTGAACTGTACACTTAAAAACCATTAAGATAATAAATTGTATGTCATGCATTTTTTACCAAAATTTAAAAATGCAAAACAAACAAAAAAAAACTATTGAGGCCATACTCTGTGGTGGTGCTGAAGCCATAATCTCTCTTCCTCTGATTAGCAGTAGCAAGCCCAAGATTCATTCTGAGTCTTTGGATCCAATTCAAAAAAATAAGAAAAATTAACAAAGCACCAGGTGGATATTTCCCAATTCCCTCTAATACTATTCTCCAGCATGAAACAAAAACCAATGGTTTTTCGAGCTATGCGCCTTGTTATTCATTTATGTTCATTAACATGCAAACATCAGCTTCTCATCTGGCAGTGATTTCACGAATTTTTGACTTACATGAGGTGAGCCAGAGATTAAAACTCTAAACTAAAGTCAGCAATATTGAGGACTGTGAGTATCATTTTAATCCTTAAGATTAGAAATCTCCAGGGGAATTCATTGGTATCATCACATGAACAGTCACCTGGGAATTACCAAAGCAATTCCTGTGTGAATTTTTGCCTTTTGGGTAATATGAGTACATACATTTTGGTGCCTGTTTGGGGTCATTAAAAATAGTGAAACCAAGACATTTCTTGTCATCAGTTTTGATCTTGTAAAACCTTCAGGCCACCCGGCAAATGTTCACACAGATACCAGAACTATAGAAAAGGCACCGTAATTTGTGGCTTTGTGACTAATATGCACAAAATTCATTTCAGCAGAAAGGAAATCAGATAAAAAAGCACATTAGAAGAGAGAAATCGAAAAACTGAGAATTCAATTCCTTCTGGAATTAGAAATCAAATTCTGAAGTATTAACTCTGAAAGAAAGAAAAGGCAGAGAGAAGAGGTTTCTCCTTAGAGGGCACTGCTCAATAGAAATATAATGCAAGCCACATGTGTAATTTTAAATTTCTAGAAGCCACATTTAAAAACAGAAGAAAAATTAATAGGTTAACTCAATATATCCAACATATTCTGATATTAACATGTAAACAATATTTTTAAAATTATTAATAAAATGTCTACATTCTTTTTTCTTACTAAGTATTTGGAATCTGGTATGTCTTTTATACCTACAACACATGTCACTTCGGACAAGCCACATATCAAGTGCTACAATGTTGCATTAGTGGTAACAGTATTGGACAGGTCAACTATAGAACCAACAATTTAAGTGTTCTTCTGACAAAACCATGGCTAGCTCTCAGAATCTGAGCATATCTCTAGATTGCACTCTCTAGATTGCCTTCACTGAATTCCTGTAATACCCACATAACAGCCTGGGTGGATGCAGGCATTAGCTGCTTCTTCAGCTAGACCAGTGTTACTTCCACCTTGGTCATTATGGTACCATCATTTGAAATTTTACAAAATAAGTTTCTTACTAATTTTTTTCAACCACAAATTAACTTTTTAAAATTAACTTTATTCTAAATGATATCATCTGTGATATCACAAGTCTGATACTTCCATCATATTTGTTTAAAAAGAGCTATATACATTAAAATAAATATTTAACACTTAAAAGAAGTTTTTGTGCACTGCCTAAAGCCAACAATGAAGCAAACTAAAATTTGCTCTCATTAGTGAATCACTTATGGTGTCATCTTTCAAAAATCTCCCATTTGGCACTGTCTCAGAAACATTACTGTCTGAATCCCCTGGCAGCAAAGAGGTATCTCAACATTAGGGTATTTGGGTATGGCTTAACATCCCATTTGAGGGTACCTTCTATCTGTGCGCCACCACAAACTCAGCAAGAGGACGTTTGCTCATTTGTGTTCAACCACCCAAAAGCTGCAGAGGCAGGGTAGAACTCTTGCAGATACACACATATACACACACATATATACACACATGTATACACACACACCCCCACACATATACAAACACAAGTTAGTATACATGTATATGCATATAGTGAGTGTGCGTCTTCATCGCAATAATCCCGTGAAGGAGGAATTATTCTCCTGCTTTTCCAGATGAGTAAACAAGGAGTAGAGCTAAGGTAAACAAGGTCATAGAGCTAACAAGTGGTAGTCTTCAAAGCCAACAAATCGGACTCTGGAATCTGTGCTCTTACTACCTCGGGGGTTATAAACAGCATAAAGAGATGGAAATTGGAAAAGTCATGAGGTTTTATGGTCACAAACAAAATTTCCTCAACATTAAAGTCTTCACCCACAGGATGTAGAGACAGGGGCAAGCAACATCTTCTAATACAGAGGGATTGGAAGGCAAGCAGAATAAATCAGAATGCCCTTAAGATGGCTTCTGTAAATTACAGTGGAGAACTCATCTTACTGAAAAGGAAAGAAAAAATAGCATAAAATTCCAAGAGAACAAAGATTCCAATAACAAAAAGAAGATGGATGGATGGACAGACGGATGGACAAGCAAACAAATGTTCACTCTAGACTCAGCAACAGAAAACATAGAGCTTTGTAAAGATACACCCCATCTCTCTGATGTGGCTCACATCCACCAGCCGCTCTCAGAGGCAAACTGGAGACCTTATTCTTCACACTGGGACAAAAGTGGCAGGGTGAGCTGTGCTGATGGCCTAATTCTGTGGCTTTCATCTGCAAGGGTTCTGCAGTCTGGAAAAAGGTAAGAATTCACTTACATGTATTCCCTGTGGGCAGAGTGTACCGCAGCCGCATTGCTGTAACGCCACAGGACAATCACCGATGACAGGACGTCCAGGATGGCATCAAACTAAGAGAAGGAGACACGGCATTAGTGGTTTTCCAGAGTTAACAGGGCATGACTGTGAAGGGACAGGGAGGCCATGCTGTGGCTCAGAATATCTGAAAGAGTGACCTCAGAGCAAAGAGGCTTCCCATCATTACGACGTAGCCACTCAGGACCCTCCCAGTGCAGCCCGTGTAGTCTGGAGCCTGAGGCACCCCACGTGCCAGCCTGGTGGCAGGGCCACGGCCCCTCCTCCCACAACCTGAGAAACCACAATCAGCCATGTGGTGAGCTCTGTTCCCAGAGCCCCTGACTCCTAGCACTCTGGGGTGGGGGCTACACTATTCTGAAATACATAGAATTGTTTTCCCCATGGCAGGCAAGATAATGCAGCATTTTGCTGCACATCTCAAGTAACAGATTCCAAGAGAGGATTCTACATGTCTGGTTCTCAATGGGACTGTTCCACCTTGGGTCCAGGAGGGAAAGTGGGAGTCGCCAGGGGCTCCAGGAAGTCTACCAACACTTTGAAATGGTATACAAAATTCAATGTTTTTGATTGAATGAGAAAGAGAGAATGCTCTAGAGAGAAGGGAAGAAATGTGCATGTGTGTGTGTTTCTGAGTGTACACACAAGTGTGTGTGTGCACATGTGTATACATGGTGTGTTTGGGGTATGTGTGTTGATATGCATTTTTCTAGTCAGTTCACATCTTTCATAAGATTCTAAAAAGAATCTGTAACACCTCCAAAATATTAAGTTCTTACAGCAAAGGGTAGAAGTGGGTTTGGGAACAAGCACACACAACCTCAGGTACAGGAAACCCTACAGCTACGCAGAAGGGATGTTGAAAGGAGCTCACTTTATGAGTCATCGCACCATACCACACTTCTCGTCTGGAAAATCAGAAGCACTAACACTCTTTTGAAGGGTCATGGGAAAATTTCACCATATTTTTCAACATATCTAGCCTGTGAAGCAGAGACCCACCTTCTCTAATCAACTCCTATCAGGAGGCAGGCTGGGAACCCAGGTTACCTCTAGTTGGGCTACAGACTGAGTTATCCTAGTGCAAGTAGCCCCAATCTTAACTCCCAAAACCTCTGTCTGCACCAGCAAATGCTTCACCCCAGTGCATGCTAGGCCTACATATAACTTGGAAGGGAAAAAGGGCTTAAACTCCTAAAACATCCTCTCACCCAACCACATTGTAGAAAATGTGGTTCCCCCACTCTGTGTTTGAAAATTACACAGACTTGTTGAAATTTAATTCTATTAAATTGTAATTTTTTATAGAGGCTATTTCCATTAAAAGTATGTTTTTCATGCTAAGCTTTCATGCACTAATCACCCTCTTATTTAAGGGTCCAGGGTGAGAGTTGTGGGCATAAGAAAAACGTGCAAAACTTCATGAAAATACATTTCAGGTTACTTACTGCAAACCCAAAAGCAGAGGCGCTGTACCTCATAACGGAGACAGCTAAAAAGAAAGAAAATATTATTCAGAATATTTTTAAACTTTGTGGACACCTCCTCTCATTTGTGAGTATATTAATACATTTGATATGGCCTTTTAAACATCAGTGGAAAAGTTCTAAAAGAATAAAATTAAAAATTAACTGTACTTGTAAAATCTAAGAATTAGAAAAAATGAATAGTGAACTGAAAAGATTCCCAGACTCTACTGAAACAACTGCCCTTCCCCAGAGTTCTGAAATACCCCAGGGTCAACTTCAGAATGAAACTGCTTAAGCAGTTGTCAATCAAATGACTTCTGAGACTTTGAGAATTTAGCAACTGGGAACTATATCAAACTTTCAAAGTGAAAATACAACCACCCAAACTGTTCCCATAATAAGGAAATTAGTGGTGATGTCTGATGCACACACCATTACTAACATACTTGAAAAAAACTTTTTTGCCTACTAGAGTTTAAAATCAATGTAGACACCAAGACAGCTGTTTAGAAAAACAATAACAAATGATCTTAGATTAAGCAAAGGCTGTCTACAAATGTAGATGCCACAATTATAATTAAAACATATTTTATACATATCCAAAAATTAGGAGTATGTCATTGGGTAGCACTTTTTCCTAATTCTGTTCTGTGCCAAAGCAATGTCCAGTTTCAAAGACTGTTCTCGATTTGACTTAATAAAAGCAGATCTCCCCTCCAACAGAGACTGAAACCCTACCCTCTGGGTGAGCAAAGCTTTGAAGTGGCTTGTTCCTGGGCTCAGGTGCTACAAGTGCTTACTCGTGGATTAAGGCATGGGCAGGAGGCACAGAGGTCAACAACTATGTGGACATCTACTCAGCGCACTGCAATGTCCCTTTTCTGGGGCCCACTCGCTGCCCTATCCACAAGGTGCAGGAACAGGCCGTGGACAGCCATGTGTTTTGTGTCCCTACTCCCAGGCATAAGGGGGTCTCTTGACCCAACGTGGACCAAACATAGTTTATTTTCTGTGATTTAGGAATTGAGACTGGGAGAGTGTCTCATTGGTCTCTTTACATAGTTAGAACTGAAACTTGTAAACACTGGAGCTGCATCAGCCATCATTTGTATAAAGACAAAGGAGCAGAAAGATAGGCTTGGAGGACACACAGCACTGGGGAGAGAGAACCACTGGCTTCTGAATATCTCCAAGTCCTTCTTGAAACTCAGCCACATTCTGGTCCTCAGGCTGCCCGAGGCAGAATATAATCCATTAAATCCATGACCTCTTTGTTTTCGACATGAGCTGCTCCAGGTGTCCCTGCCATTGCTCTTGCTGGCACAGGGAGAAATCAGAACCAGCTGTGCACAGCTCCCGGCTACAGCTTTCACAGGAAGCACAGGTGTGGGGTGCAAAGGGGCACTGGGCCTTCCCAAAGAACATCAACACGTGGGCCATGTTGACTTGTGCAAAAAAGGCAGCTAATTCCTGGTGGGGTTGCCCTGAGCACCAAGATGCCCTATAAAACACTGAGCCTGGCTCGCACTAAGTGCTAAGTGACTGTTAACTAAGCATCATAAAATCTCGTAGAAATAAGTCAAAGTGTGTATCTGGTTTTTTCTTTTACCACCTGTTTTTAGTATCTCTTAGCTGTGTGACTTTTTTGTGGGCTGCTTCTTTATCCACAGCTGAAACCTTGAACTCCAATCTATAACAGATAGAAGAAAAGCTCCCACTCTCTGGCCTGAGCACGAAGGAGAAGGCACAGCAGGAAAGCATCCCCCTCCATTGGCCATCCCAGAAGACCACCTGCTTTACAAGCAGTGAACCATTACTTTAAAATGCTTCACCTGAGGTATCTGGTCATACCAGACATGTATACAGTGGGCTACAGATTTCAAAGGGGTGAACCCACTTGATTATATTGAGAAAAACAAGGAGTCTTATGTCAGGGATCTGGAATCAAACAAAGGAAACGGCCACTAAATGGTGGGGTTTCCGTGACTCAGCTGGAGTTCAATGACTATGATTTCAAGACTCTCAGAATTCTACTGGAAAGTTCTGCTTGTGTGAGTAAGTTAAGCCCACCCAGTGGACAGATAACCTAGAGCACAGGTGGAATATTAATACTATTTTGTCCCCATGCACCAAGGAAAATGAGAGCAAGAGGGCCCCAGGTTGACCCACAGTCCTTCACAGAGATATAAATTGGCTCCATCCAATTTCCTTGATGAGATGGAAGGGAGAAATGTCAAAAATTGCTTGGGGACTCTCAGATCTGCTGAAGGGCCCTCCACATGCTCTGGCAGCTTCCCTTCGTGGCCAACTCCCCAGCTCTCGCTACTAAATAACAGGAAAGAGTCATTAGCTCAGGCCCCAAATGGAAAAGCTCAGTCGGCCTTTTAGCAATTTCTAAGATCGTCCAGTAATGACTTCATTTTCTTTGGTCCATAACTCACCATGACATATCCTAATTCTGGGATAAGAATGAACTCAATGGAAAGGGTCAGACTGGTTTAAACTGCTCCTGTCCTCATGGAAAGAAAGAGCAAACCATGGAGTTATCATAAGGACATTTCCAACTTCCCTCATGCTAAGACTGAATTCTGCTTGGAGAACAGCAAACCTGGGCCAGGATGACCACCCAAGGCAGAGCTTACCTGGTAGGTGCCCCACGCACACATGGCTGAATGCAGCCGAAAGTCACTACAGGGCCAAGGTCCAGCGTTGCCTTGAAGGCAGGTGCCAGATTCAACAGTGGACAACAGACAAGGGCCCTTTTGACCTCAAACAATTATGCTGCAAACCGGCACCATCCACAAAGACATGGGCAACCAGGCAGCATGAAGCAGAACTCTCCTATAAAAGCTGCTCTCAGTCAAGGCAGGCACCACAGAGCTGAAGACAATGATGTCCCCATGGCTCTCAGCACACCAGTGCAGGCCTGTTAAACAAACCTACAGCTGCTCTGGAATGAAGTGCCTGACTGTCAGCAGCCTCTGAATTCATCCAGATAGCACTGTTATCAGGATCCCTTAGGGAAATCTTCAAGAATGTTTCTGCTCCTCACATTTACAGCCTGTCTCCATCACTCATAACTTAAACATGCACTTGGGGAGCAGGCAGCCACCAACAGCCTATGAGGTACTGGGAGCCCCATCTCCAAGGAGCTGAGTCCTGGGGTGAGAGCAGAAATGGACTGCCATGTGATTAGGCTGGACTCACACATCCAAAAATGCAAGCTTGGCATGTGGCTAGGCTCCTCTCTCTCCCTGCTGCATGCTTCTTTTTTTAAATAAGACACGTAGTCCTTAAAACATGCACGGGTGAAACAAAGATGTGTTGTTTGGGGTCTGCTCAGCGTCCATTCCCCATCCTGGTAAGGACACTCCAGTTCTTCTCTGGGGAACGACACCTGCCCTACCCTTATAGACTAAGTGCTTTGGGTGGGATGACATTATCCCCACACTAGTATATATCCCATTAACTTGTCCCATGTCCAAAGTTAATGATTCAAACATGGGATGGCACAATTCAATTTGAGTCAATGAGATCTGTCCCAAGATTTTTTGCTGAAAATACTGGGAAGGTGATATCTCTCTAAGAGGGGATTTTAGAGCTGGTAGGATGAAAATGGGAGCTGTAGGTAGCAATTTTGATATACACGAGTAGAGACTGCCTCAGAATGAAGCTAACACAAGAGGAAAAAAGATATTAAAAATAAGAGATACAGATCAGACCCCCGATGACAGCAAAATCAGCCCTGGAATCAGCCCTGCCTGAAATCTATCCCTCTGTTCCTCAAATATTTCAGCCAATAATTTCCTTCAATTTGCTTAAGCCAGTTTGAGTTGGGTTTCTATCACTTGCAGCCAAATGAGTCTTAATACAATAAACCTTGACCTAATAATCCATGTCCAAGATTTTCTTTTAATGCCTAACAAATAGAAAAATACAAACACATAAAGTTCATAGTAGGTTCATGTGATTTGTAATAGCAAAACATTGGATGCAATCTAAATGTCCAGCAGTAGGGCGATGATTAACATATACTCTATTCAAAGGATAGTCTATATGCAGCTATTTTAAAAGGTTTACAAAGAGTACTGTTGCTTAATGGTTCTATTAGCATGTTAGGTACAATAATACTATTAATAATAAACAGATGGGTATGTTGGGTGCCAGGGGTAAGGGGTGCCATGGGAAAGGATGTGTCTGGGACAGGGGGAGCCCTAGCTAGTGCAGGTGCAAACTGAGTGGGAAGGTCAGAAGAGGCTTCACTGAGAAGGTGACATTTGGGCAAAGACCTGAAGGAGGTGAGGGAGTGAGCCATGCAGTTACCTGGAGGAAGAATCTACCAGATTATGGAAAGAGTCAGTGCAAAGGCCCTGAGGTGGAATATCTGGCATGTTGTGAGGCCATTTAGGCTAAAGCCAAAGGGAGCAGGAGGAGGGATGATGTGTGTGAGAATTAGGGCAACACACACAACAATGTATGTGATACAACTAGCTTTACAGTACAACTATGAAAACTAAAAAAAAAATTCCCTCAGATGATAACAGTGATGTTAACCTTTGAGGGATGGGAATATTTGAGTGGATTTCTTTCATTTCTACTTTTTGTATTTTCCACATTTTCTACAACCATCATATATAACCATTCAAATTAGAAAATTGACTTTATTTGAGGGAAAAAAACCCAACTCATAAAAATATCTCCAAAGGTCTAAAATGGAATAGCAGAAACCAGATTTATGATGCACATCTGGAGGAAAGCTGTACCGTGAGCACATAAGTGCTCTAGCTAACAGGAAAGCGCATTACCATATCCGTCTTTACTGCATCTAAGTTTCTGAAATCCATCTTTCTAGGTCAAATCACCTGCACGAGTGGTGCTAGTGGCCATGGGAGTACAGTGGAGGGCCAGGGAAGCCAAGGAATGGAACACAAGCAAATGCCGCCCCGGGCTGATGGTCCTCCTGCCTCCCAGGATTTTGCTTGTCCTACATTCTACTTTCATTTATGTGTCAAGGGGGTGATAA